CCCCCATACCAAAAAGCACGGTCTCCATAGCAACCGTAGCTCCAAGAGTGCCTCAGAAACAGCGGGGATAAGCAGAGAGGAGGGATCGATGTTTATGGTGGTGTTTTGGGGGGGGGTCTGCCATGGAATTTAGGGGTCATGGAGGCCCCACCCTCACATCTGGTTACCCACATGTGGGGTATTTAGCGCCCCCGAATATGAGGAGCCCCTCAGCTGAGACAGCGGGAGCCAGATTCTTTTGGGTTCTTATTCAGTCTCCTGAGGTTTTCGGGGTGGGGCTCGTTTAGAAGGTTAAAGAGGAAAACGTCTGCTCTGTATCTTCCACCCCTCTAGGGACCCTGGAGTTCAAGGCTCACTGTCCTCAAGCCCGGAAAGAAGGATTAAGGGGTTAGGCCACTGGGGAACAGAGACCAAGACCCAGCAGGGGTGGGACTGGAGTCTGGCGAGGTCTCCCCGCACCCCTGGACTCGGGGAGTCTCAGCGTTCCCCTAATTTGGCGTCCCATCCTCCTGACGCAGCCGAGACTATATTAGTGCAGTCGTGGGCGGCTCTTGGAGGCAGGAGCCGGCGGTGCATTCACTCGGGCCTGGTAGGGGTTGAGGGTGGGGGGCGTACCAAGACGCTGGATGCCCTTTGTTTCCCCCAAGACCTGTACCCAATCCCTCCGCGGGCCTGTCCCAAGGTCAGCAGCCTTTTGCCCGGTGCCCCCACCCCACCTCTGCTCCCGCTGCGCCAGGATGACATTCTCCCCAAGACAGGTCTCTTCAGCAGCCCTTTCTGAAAGTGATGCAAATTTTGATTCTGGCTTAATTTCTCTTCCTTCCGCTAGTAGCCTCAGTTTTCCTTTATATTCAAAGGGAACAGTGCCCTGTCTCTCAGGGAAGAGTGAAACGAATCACTCAAGAAGAGTGGCGTCTTCTCAGAGATTTCTGCATACATCCCTCTTCTCCCCCTGCTTCCCCAGAGCTAAGCAGAGCTCCTCCACCGGCCTAAACATCCGTTCCCCCATCTTTTCTTTTCTGCAGTGGTGGGGCTTGGAGTTCCTCCCTGGAAGTCCCTGTGGGGCCACTTCCCCTGGGTCTGCCTTTCCAACAATTAATACTGTGGGGAAGGTGTCAGCTGCCCTTCTTGTCAAAAGGCGGAGGACAGGCAGCACTAACCTCAGAAGGGCAATGGCAAGGGTATCATCAGACTGCTCCCTTAGGAACCGGGACCAAACTGTTCCTTCTGCAGTTATGCTCTGGTAGCCTTCACCATCTGAGAGACCTGGCAGAAGGTACCCTTGATGGAAAGAATGGCTTCTTGACTGCCCCCATCTGCCACCCCCAAGTAGGCCTCTAAGAATGGAGAGGCTGAAAGAGACCAGGATATGATGGAGGACATGTTTCTCCCAGACATCTTTCATGAGTGAAAGAGCCCACTTATGTTAGTTGTTTCCCACCATGGAGGTGATGAAAGGAGAACCTCCTTTCATCTGGAGAGACCTCCGGTTCCATCAGCTCCTTGGTGCTGGCGCCTAGTGGTTGGATGAGCTGTTCCTTCCAGGGCCCCACCACAGGACTGAAGGCTGGGGTGGGCAGGAGGATGTGGTGGATGGTGTTGCCATGGCAGCACTTCCTTCCTGTATTGTCATCACTTGCTCTAATGACACTAAGGAGGTAGAGCGGAAGGTGCGCTGGGGGAAGACAGGAACAGGAATACGAGGAACAGAGGGAACTAACTGATGAGAGTCCTGGGGACCTTCTGCACTTCAGTTGTGCAGAGCATGCTGTGTGAATGTTAGTGTGTGCCTGGAAGCCTGAGATTCTGTGTGGTGATTTTAATGTGTGTACGTATTTGTGTGTGTTTCTCTCTACAGCTGGAGAACAAGAGGTCACTGATCCCTCATGGGTCCTGGGAATGAACACATTATCCAATCCCAGAACCTTCTGCCCTAGACTGCTTCCTGCCCTGGACTCCCCCAGCAGGGTCCAAGTCTACCATGGGTCTATCACAGCCTGTCTTCCCTGTGCTCACTCACTTCTCCATTTCCAAAAAGGTCAGCTCAGCAGTGACCTGTATTTTGATCCCTGGGGAGAAGAATCAGAGTTGGGGGAAGAGAAAGAATGACACCTCCCATATCTTTTCCCATCTTTTCCAAATGTATTCTTTCCCTGAATCCCAGCTCCGTCTTGGAAGCTACTAGGCAGTGGCTGATTGAGAAATGATGTACGACCCAGCAAACCCTTCTATGCCCCTGCTGGTCCCCAATACACCCAAGTTGGGAGCTAACCCTTGTCTTACCTCGTACGCTGTTCAGTGAGGCCTGGATGCTGTCCCGAAGTTCCGAGTCGCCCACCTTTTCTGCCAGTTTCCTGAGGCGGTTTAGAGCCTGCCTGGCTACCTCATGTCGTCTGACTTCTGCTCTCACTGCAGCTACAGCCAACTGCCTTTGGGCGTGCATGTTACCCAGTCCTGTCTTGCCAGGCTAACAGCAACCTCTGGCAATGAAGCCCATGGCCCTGCAGCCCCCAAAACCCAGAAGGCCCCTTCTGCTGTGCCCCAGAACTCCCCGCCCCTGCCCGCCCTTCCGTCTGTCGGCCTCACTTCCTGACTGGTGAGTTTCAAACCCACAGCCTGGGACAGCACTACCTCCTGTACCAGACACCCCCTCTAGCGTTGGCCTACTGGCTCTGCCAGCCAGCCTCTGCTAAGATTCCCCAGCCAGGTGGAGGTAGAGACCTTAACAAGCATCGAGCCTCCCAGGGCCTCCTATGGGAGGTGGCTAATTAAAATGGGTGTTGGTGCTGGGAGAATGTGGCAAGCCAGGTCTCGGTTGCAATCCCAAACTCTTGGTGACCTACAGATTTGTGTGCAGTCTCAAACTCTCACAGGAGTCCATACACATTTGGCCTGTCACTCTCACAGCCCTGCATTCCAGGTTATAGTTGTAATCACCACCCACTCTATGCACATCCAAAGAGCTTGCATACTTATATTTTGCAATGTAACCCTTCCTGGGTCAGGTACCCCACTGCAGCCACCTCCTGATTAAAAGGGCCAAGCAGCTATGGGGAGAACGGGTGATGGAAGAGGACAGTAATCTATAACCAGCCCAAACCACCATGCTCCATGATCAAGTATTTTCATGATAATTAACCTGTCTATAACACAGCAGTTTACAATACAGCTTCATATGTATCATCTTTATGACAGGCCCAAGGGGTAGGATTATTATCCCTAGTCTGCAGCAAAGAAAACTGAAGCTCAGAGAGGCCCATAGAAGGTGCAGCAAAGACATGACTCTAGGTCTCCTGATTATAATTCTGACACCCTTTCACTATGCCACCCATGCTTCACTATGCTTGCTGGCCAGTCCCCCAATTCTTAATGTTATTGTTCTGCCCTTGATTTAGGACTTGAAAGAGAAGAGGGTGGATGAGGAATTGAAGGATGGAATGAAAATTCAGAAAGGATAGGAGGGTGGAAATGGTAGGTATTTTTATCTAGTTTGTTTCAAGACTCAAACCTTTCTGGCCCTTCTAAATGTCTCTGTTCCTGCTTATCTTTTTGATATTGATTTACGAAAGATAGGAGATTATAACTATGTGAATATTTCTGTAGTTGGAGATAAGGGAATTGAGATTGAGATTACCCACTGGAACCTATAAAATAGTCTGAACAATAACTAACACTGTTTACTATGTGTCAGGTACTGTCCCAAGCATTCTATGTATATTAACTCATTCGATCCTCACAACAACGTGAGAGGTAAGTGTATTGTTATTTAGCCCCATTTTACAGATGAGGAAGCAGGTACAAAAAGCATACTTAACTGGCAAAGATCACACAGTGAGTGACAAAGTTGGAACCCAGGCAGTCTGACTAGCAATAGACTGTATACTGCACTGAGTATGCAGTCATAGAATCCAGGTACACACACACTTAAATTGTTCTGTGGGTGGAAGGGAGAGTTTTCCTTTGTGTTCATACTAAGACTGCTTCTTTCTCTTTTTCCATTCCCATTAAAGGACAGGGTGTCAGCCCTGGCTGGTGTGGCTCAGTAGACTGAGTGCCCGCCTGCCAACTGAAAGGTTGCCTGTTGGATTCCCAGTCAGGGCACATGCCTGGGTTGCCGGCCAGGTCTCCAGTTAGGAGCATGCGAGAGGCAACCACACATTGATGTTTCTCTCTCTCTCTCCCTCCCTTCCCCTCTCTCTAAAAATAAATAAAACCTTTAAAAATGGCAGTGTGTCAAAGCACAAATTCAATAATAAATATGTTGATCAGCCAACCACTATGCCTGCCCCAGATTGAAAATGTGGAAACTTCTCCTTATTCAGATTGATTCATACTCCAGACCCTTTCGTCATTTTTTTTTTTTTTTTTTGCAAGTCCTGGACTAGGCATGTGCTCTGGAGACACAGCACACCGGTGTCTGTACCTGTGGCTTTCTTAGGTTCTGCAGTACCCTGGCCAAGGCTGCTGCTTTTTCACATTTAATTTCTAGCACATTCACACCCGTTAGGGAAGAGGGGATGTGGAACAGGACGTGTACTAGTGGCCATGCTTGCAACAGTACAAGGGCTGGCTGGCTGTTGCTGTGCCGAACACGGGGCCTCTGTGGCTGGGCTCAATATTTTGCTCCTTTGGGTGTTTCCAAGTGTGATGAAATAATAACAAACAATTGCGTCATCATGAGGTCACTGCAGGACAAGGGGAAATGACGAAGTCGCACCTCTTTTTTTCATGGTAGTTTTCCCCCAAAGAATCCTCTCTCGGATTAGGGACCACGGAACTGTGACCACGGAAAGCTTCGCTTTCAACCCGAGACTCGAAGTTTAGGCTCTGACCACTACGAGAATTTTTGCAAGCCCTGCCCAATTTTAAGTTTCATCCTATAAGGAACCTAGAGGAGGAGCTGGAGGCGGGTCAGCAACGCAATGCTGATTTATTGGTATTCAGTCCATCGACGTCCTGGATTACCCCGGAGTTTCGCCAATCCAGAGGCAGGGGTGGGACGGTGCAGGCGCAGAGAATTGGGTTTGGCTGAACTAGATTTAAAGAGACAGAAGCTGTCGCAGTCTAAGAAGACGATCTCTAAAACCGTCTCCCTAAGTCCTTGGGGCCACTTCGGTCCCCAAAGCTGGGGAGATGGTTTGCGGCGGCTTTGCCTGCTCCAAGAATGCGCTGTGCGCGCTCAACGTGGTCTACATGGTGAGGTTTTGAAGGTGGGGGAAGCTTCAGGGCGGAAAGGCGAGTGGGGAGATTCTCCAGGGGACTTCCGGTGGGGAGAACGGTGTACTGGGTGTTCCGGGAAGATTCCTAGGAACTTCCGGCGGAGAGGGAATTCCTGGGGACTTCCGTGGGAAGGGAGGCTTCCGGCGATCCAAGGGTTTTTTTCGGGGGGGAGGGGGGCGGGTGGAGGGAATGAACTGTGGGCTCTGGGCACAAAGGCCCATCCCTCCTTTGCGTGCAATCCAGTTTCTCCCAAAATAGAAAAGTGATGGATGAAGCTAAAGGTTCGGTTATTGCATTCATAGATTACCATTCCTGCCACGCTCCCCACTCCCATCCCAGCCATTCCGATTTCCGATGGGAGGAGAGCCCAGGGATATTCCAGGTTACTGTAACACCTCCTTTGCTTTTTGTCCCCAGTACCCTGTATGGCCATTGGCTGTGCTACAGGCTAGAATTCTGCGATGTATCCTTCTTTCTGTTTCCCATAGCTGGTAGGCTTGTTGCTCATTGGAGTGGCTGCTTGGGGTAAAGGCCTGGGGCTGGTGTCCAGCATCCATATCATCGGAGGAGTCATTGCTGTGGGGGTCTTCCTTCTTCTCATCGCAGTGGCTGGACTGGTAGGCGCCATTAACCACCACCAAGTACTGCTATTCTTTGTATCCTGACCTGAAGTGATGGGGCACTAGGGCTCTTGGGAGGGCTGAGTAGGCTATGAAGAAATTAGACCTCAGGGAACTTGGGGACATGTTTCTTTGCCCTGCTCTATGAAAACAGAGCTGATGATTTTGTTTTCAACTTACATGTATAAGTTGTATAAACAGGTGAGATCAGATGGCTGTTATAGGTAAAACATAAGGGAATCTTGGACTTTTTTTTTCCGTAACTCCTCTCAGTACATGATCATCCTTGGCTTGGTCTTCATTTTCCAGTTTGTAATCTCTTGTTCATGTCTGGCTATTAACCGAAGCAAACAGGTAAGAGAATGCCCTTTCGAGTATTTGCATTTTTTCTCTAACATCTAACTTCCTTTCAGTCTGGCCCTCAAAATCATTCTTAGATATACTACTTACCCCTGAGCCATTGATTCCTCTAGGATGTCTACCTCATTTTCCATGAGGGTGGTCTAGGAGAACCTAAGGTGGATATTTATCATTGAGTCCATATAATTGTGATACTGGCCCCCCACCCCCAGAGGAATGTTGACTCCCTTTGCTGGAATAGGAAAATTGAGGCACCTGAACTGAGATCATATAGGGAGATTCTTAAGTTTAGCAGCATCAGATAATTTCTCTCTGCCTGTATATCCTCCAGACAGATGTCATCAATGCTTCTTGGTGGGTCATGAGCAACAAGACCCGGGATGAACTGGAAAGAAGTTTTGATTGTTGTGGCTTATTCAACCTCACAACCCTGTATCAACAAGATTATGCTTTCTGCACCGCAGTGAGTTGGTGGGGAAGGGGGGTTGGGTAGGAAAACTGGGTAAGGATAGTGCCTGGATTTGAGTTTGAATGCAATTGCCTCTCTCTAGCAGCTATCTTGTATTAAGGCTGTATGCTCTTGTGTTGGGAAGGGGCATGGATACAGAGGCTAGAGAATTAGCCAAGTGGGACTTCAATCTATAGGATACTGATCAAAACTAGTCATTTCTAGGGCCACTCACCACGGGTATCAGGATAGGGCAGCTTAACAATTCTGCATCTTCCCCAGCCCCCACCCCTCCTCCACACACATGCATTTTATTCTAGGTCTGCAAGATCCGGAGGCCCACATGCCAGATGTGTGGAGAAAAGTTCCTTAAGCATTCAGATGAAGCCCTGAAAATCCTGGGAGGTGTTGGACTCTTCTTTAGCTTTACAGAGGTAACATCCTCCAGTTCCCTCATATGTACCCTTTCCCTGTATCTGTTAGCCTCAGACTCAGAATTAAGGCTTATCCCTTTCCCTTTGCTTCTATAGATTCTTGGTGTCTGGCTTGCAATGAGATTTCGGAATCAAAAGGATCCTCGAGCTAACCCCAGTGCCTTTCTGTAATACTTTGGAGCCTTCTGACTTCATTCCTGCTCTCCCTAAGCTGTTTCTTACTCCCTTAGGGAAAACCCAGGGTCAACAGCCTTTTTTGTTTGAGAAAAAGGAAAGGCCCTTTGCCATCCCCTAGTAATTCAATAGCCAGGCTCTCCACCTTGATATCTCTTAGTGGGAGCAAGGTTGTAAGGAATGAAGAAACACTTCCCCTCTCCTTGAGTGGACATGGGAAGTTCCTGGGAGTGCTTGAGGTGGTATGGGGGTTGGAGTCATTCCTGTCTATCTCCCTTCTTCTCCCTTCCACATGCTGGACGACCACCACGAAACATCCTGGCCTGGCTCCAAGGGAAAATCAGAGCCAGAGCCAGAGAGAAAACTACCAAGAACTCTTTCTTGTAATAAGCAGGACCCAGTTTGGGGGAAGTTCAGTGAATATAAAAATAAAAGCCATTTAAACTCTATATTCAAAGAAGCAAATTAGCCTTGGCTGGTATGGCTCAGTGGATTGAGTGCCAGCCTGAGAGCCAAAGGGCCTCCAGTTCAATTTCAAGTCACAGCATATGCCTGGGTTGCAGGCCAGGGGAGCAGGGGGTATGAGAGAAACCCCTACCCTCTCACAATATGTGAGAAACACATTGATGTTTCTCCCTTTTTCTCCTTCCATTCCCCTCTCTCTAAAAATAAATTAAAAATCTTTAAAAAAGGAAAAAAAGCAAATTAAATGCCTTGTCTTCTCTTACCAGTTGAAGGGCTCCACTGACTATGCAGGCCCTGTGACCTAAGGAGAATCTTTAAGATTCTGCAGGGAAGTCCATCTTCTGAATGGATTTTCCAAATCCCCAAATGACAAAGTCAATCAAAGGAAGAAACGTAAAAAAAAAAAAAGACCGTATTTCTTTGTTTTGTTTTTTCCTGTATAAAAAATGTATCTCAATATCAAGGTAAGGAAAGGGAGAACAAGGGGCATACTCCAATGGGGGAGGGGAGGACGGGAATGTCATTAAACTTGCCAGCCAGGTATTCTTTGTAAAAAGCTGGAGGCGCATTCCACGGCCTCAGAGATAAAAAGGCACAGAGCTCCTTCTCAGTGGCGGGGGGCTCTCCACTCAAGTGTTCAAAGGTAAATGAGTTTTCTTCTCTTGGTTGTGCTGCAGCCACTCCACTGCTCATTCTGGGCTACCTTCTGCCTTTTGTAGATAAGAGTGCTGCAGGGCTCGGAAGGCAGAGATTCGCTTATGTGGGTTAAAAGCCAGCATCTCCTAAGGGGAGGCAAAGGTCAGAAAACCATGGAAAAATAAAAAAGGACTTTTGCTCACCCCCAGTACCTAGGATGGCTGTTTTCTACATTCCTCTGTACAGATGGCCAATCACAGTAGCAAAAGACTAGCCCATCCACCAACCAAGTCTCAGGAACCACGATGGTTTGAGTCCCTGTTCTACTCCATTGTCCACCCCAATCTCACCCCATGCCCAAACCCAGTACCAGCAGCAGCTGTGCTCCAGACTCCTCCATCTCAGGTATCACGGACTGCACTGGGCGGGGCCCTCTGGGGGAAAAGGCTCCTCGGGGCAGAGAAACGTCTCGGGGCCAGTCATCCTCTGGGGGCAGCCCAATCAGACTATAGGGAACAGGAGAACTCTGGTGGGGGTGGGGTGGGGGGTCCTGCCCCAGCCTCCATCTCCAGGGCTTAGTAGTAGCAAGACTCAGAATGAACTTTTTTTTTTCCCCTTGCCACTCACTTACTCAAAGATTTTGCCTAACTGGTCAGCTTCAGAGTTTCCGCAAAAGAGAGGCCTAAGGAGAGAAGAGACACAGCAGTCATTTTCAAAGATATGCTAGTAGAATGGTTACTGCTTAGTGGCTGAAAACAGAGAGTATGGAAACTAAAGGGACAGTAAATTCCTAATTCCAGGAAATTTCAGAGCTTCTGGTTATGGACAAGGTGGTCGGTAGTATTCAAGTGAAAGAATGGGCAGGGTTCTGCCCGGGCTGGGCAGCTCAGGTGGTTAGAGCATTGTCCCCATATGGCAAGGTTGTGGGATTGATCCCTTGTCAGGGCACAAAAAAGAATCAAGCAATGAATGTGTAAGTAAGTGAAACAACCAACATGTTTCTCTCTGCCCCCCCACCCACCTTCCCCTCTCTAAAATCAATACATTAAAAACTTTTTAAAAATGGGCAGGGTATGGATGTGGTTTTAAGAGCTTTGGGAAATTCAAAATTGTTCAGGATACTTGGGTCCCATACTTTCGGCGAAACATCTCTGCGAAGATACAGCCAACACTCCACAAGTCCACAGGTGTGGCGTATGCAGACTGCAGCAGAACTTCTGGAGCGCGGTACCAGAGTGTGACGACCTGACAGGAATAGGAAAAGCGGATGAGGGCCCGATGGGCTACCATAAAGCACAACTGGTATCATGAAACGCATGACTTCTCAACTGTTGGGCAACCACTCTCCTACCCCCAACCAGAACCCACTTTGGCTACCCTCATTCTACTGACCACAGGTGTGAGTGCCATCTGGTAGCTGTAGATTCTGGCCAGGCCAAAGTCGGCCAGCTTGACTGTCCCACTACTTGTCACCAGAATGTTCTCTGGCTTCAGGTCCCGGTGAACAATGCAGTTGGCATGAAGGAAATCCAGGCCTCTTAGAAACTGACGCATCAGATCCTGGTTTGGAAGGGGGAAGTACAGAGGAACTAGAAATTAGGCGCCATACCTGAAATCGCAGCACCCTCCACAGCAGAGGAGCCACATACCTCTTACTGTCTGCTCATCCCACTCACCTTAATGGTCTCCACTGGCAAGCCTGGTGGGGGTACCTTGTTCAGATATGTCCTCAGGTCTTGGTCCACATGCTCAAACACCAGGGTCACTCTGGTCTCCCGGTCGGTGCGGGAGCTGGCACAGACATCCACCAGCCTGGCCAGCACAAATGTTCACTCACTCGCTCATCAATCCCTTCTGGCCCCAACATAGCCCTCCCCTATATTTCCTTAGGGTCCTACTTCTCTCCTGACCACCGCTCCCCATCTATAGATGTCTCTTCCCCTTTACTTCCCACTCTCCACCTTCTCACCGGACAACGTTGGGATGCTCAAAAGCTTCCAGCCGCCTCAGTAAGGCCACCTCACGAACTGTGCTCACGGGAAGGCCTCCTCCAGCACCTCCTCCATTAGGGACTCGCACGCTCTTGAGGGCCACAAAGTGGCCACTGTTGGGATCACGGGCCTTGTACACCGTCCCATAGGCACCAACACCAATCTCAGCCACTGGCTCATATCGAAGAGTTTCCATTCTCGGATCACAGGACACCCTACAATCACAGAGACTCCTACCACCGAAACTCCCAGAGTTCGGATGGTATGAGCCTACGGCAACAAAGTAACTCCCCCAAAAGGCATCACAAAGACACCACACCACCGTCCTTTCCCCTCTTCCACGAGGCCAGCCCCTTAAGTAATACAATGCCTCTAGCCCCAACCCCTTCAGCCATGTGAGGCCCTAGAATTAAAAAATGCCTTTTCCTTTGGGACCGTCCGCCGGCACAAGACCCCACACGACACACCCCAGCCTCTAGAACTGCACCTCCCTACAACCACAAAGCACCAGATTACACCCTGTCCCACTTGCCGCCCTCGAGCGACCCTCCGGTAACTAGCCCGCGCAGGAAGCCACGGTCTGCGAGAACGGTCTCCATTCCTGGGAAGGGACTGCACTTACTTCACCCCGTACCAGGAGATGCGGGGTCGGCCCGTTACCGGGGCCCGGGAGGCGGTTCCTCAGGACCCATACACTGATCTGCTCGAGGCAGCTGGACGCTACGGGCCCGAACACAGACACAGGCCGCAAGTTAGAGCGGCCCCCTTACCCCCACCCTCACCATGTGACCAGCTGCCAAAGAGGCGCGCGGAAAACCTGGGCGGGAGTTGGGGGTGGGGGGAGGCGAACGCCGGACGTTCGAGGCACGTGACCAGTCACTCATGCGCACAGTGGCCGGGAGCGGCTTTGCCTGGTAAGGGGTTGGTGGGGGGAAAGGGGAGGAGGGGCGATGGCAGACACGTGATCTGTTGCTATCCCACGTGACCGCTTGAACTCTCTCGGTGGAGCAAAGGTGTGGTTACGCGGCGGAGCACATGACTAGCTGCCACTACCCTTGCTGGGGTGGAGAGGCGGGGGGGGGGGGGTGCCTAAAAAGAGAGAGGGTGGAGTCCAAGGAGGTGCCATGGCAACCTGGGCCACCCAGATGCTAACTCCCGCTGCAGGCCTTCACCAGTCTCACTCCTAGTCTCTCACTCTATGGTGGGGCCTGGGAGGGTGTCTGGGAACAAGAGGTGGTGCTGTCGCCTTTCTGCTCTACCACCATCGGAGAACTTACTTGTGTCTTTGTTTCATTCATTCATTCAACAAATTTGTACTGAGCGCTTGCTTCCCCTGTGTATACAGGATTGTTTGTGGGACTGTGTTTTTTGCGTCTCAGTCACTAGCCCTTCGAAGTAGTGATAAGACTATCTGTAAAGACGCAGCCAATAGTGTGGTCGTATGAAATAGGGAGCAGACAATGCCCATCTGAGGGCAAAACTAGGATTAAAGGATTGATGGAAGGCAAATTAACACAGTAATCCAAGAGGAAGAGGAGCAAGGTAATGGCCTCCCCTCTTCCCAATCTGCACCCCTCCCTGGAAATGTTAAAGCAGAGACCACCACTTGCGTTCTGGCAAAGAAGTTTCCAATGATTGGGAGACAGGAATTCTTGACTTTTAAGGTTCTTTTCAGCACTATGATGTTATGTGTGTACGTGTATGACAGATGAGTCATGTATAAACAGATGGATGCGCTCGAGCGCGCACACACATACCCCACAACCACTACCCCAGACCAGCACATTACATGAGAATGGCTTGTGCCCTTCTGCAAACCTTGTGACTCATTATTGGAGGTTACTGCGCATCTTTTCCTCCAGTGCAAGTTTTCATAGCCCTTGACCCTGCTGGGAACACAAACCTTTCCCAAAATGGCCATTGCTCACAGACACCTTATAAAGGTATACAATAGGCAGGTTTCTCGTTGGCTTCCCTTGTCTTACTGCCTCCAGCTTCTTCATATCCTAACCCTTTGGGAGAATGGGACTAAGGGAAGGAAGGGATCAGTGTCTCATTTGTGACAACTTGCCTAAAATCTGAAACCACTTTATTACCCTATTTGTCACTTCTTTCACCCTAACTTCTATTTTCTTTAACCATCTGGCTGAGGATATGAGAATTCAGGTTTGAGATGAATATAAAGCATGTTCCAGGGCAAAACAAAAAACATGTCAGTAGAGATCCTCCCTCATTGCATTCTGATAGCTGTAATTCTGGGTCCTTGCTGATAAGGGCAGCTGGGACTAGTAAGAAAAACCTCAAGCCCTGGCTGGTGTGGCCCTTTTGGGAACCGAGAGGTTGCAGGTTCAATCTCGGTCAGAGCACATGCCTGGGTTGTGTGCCAGGTCACTAGTTGGGGGGGTGAGGCAACCCATCGATGTTTCTCTTCCTCTCTTTCTCCCTCCATTCTCCTTTCTCTAAAAAATAAAATCTTAAAAAAAAAAAGAAAAAAGTCCAGGTAGCTCAGTTGGTTAGAGTATCGTCCCTATATACCAAGGTTGCGGGTTCCATTCCAGTAAGAGTACATACAAGAATCAATCAATGAATGCATTAATAAGTGGTACAACAAATCAATGTTTTTTCTCTGTCCCTTTCTCTCTCTCTAAAGTCAATAAAGACATTAAAAATAAAATAAAAAGAATAACCTCAAGATCTGAGCCTAAAGGGTGTGTAAAGTGAATGTTTCATTGGTTACTTTGTTAGAACTGGTTGGTGTGTAAATCTTCTGGAAGGCTAAGTGTCTGTGTCAAACTTTCTGCACCAGCAGAGTCCACCTCAGCCTCACCTTCCACATTAGCCCATCATAGCTCGGTCTTCAGAAGTCATCCTTGAAAGAAGGTGAAGGAATTAAGCAAAAACAAAACAAAACATGTATGTGTACACACACACACACACAGCATAAACACAGTCAGCAGTGTGTGGTGATAGCCCTGGGGATGAGGGGTGGGGGTATGTGGAGGCAGGCAAAGTCGGGATAAATGGGGACAGAAAGACACTTTACTTTGGGTGATGGGTGCATTATTCACTGTGCAGATGATGAGTTGTACATTTGAAACCTGTATGGTTTTGTGAACCAATGTCACTCCAATAAATTCAATAAAAAAGAAGTCATCCTCTGTGTTGGCTTGGGTTCTAGCCCCCTTTTCTGGCTCATTCATTCATCCATCCAATGTGTTTGAATGCTTCATAAGAGCATTGCTCTCCTTAATCATTTTCGATTGAGGAGCCTTAGTTTGGCAGTCTGTCCCTGGTTCCATCCCCTCTCTTCTGTTAATTACTCTTCTACTAATTAATTTGTTCCCAGTGTATTTGACCCAATGGGCTCCCTGGAATTCCTTTTCCTTCAGCGTTGGAAAAGGGAGGAGAGGGAGGTTGTGTGTGTAGGTCAGAAACAGTAAGGGGGTACAACCGGTTCTCCGTCAAGGCCCCCATAAAAGCCAAGAGCTGTGTGTGGGAGAGGGGGACAGTCACTTCAGTGTAGGGTGGTGAGGGCCGGAGAATGCCAGAAAAGACACTCTCATCCCTTAGCACTCCTGTCTCCCTTGCTCAGTCACCTGCCTCACACAGTACTGCCAGATACTTTGTTTCTCGTGCAATCCGAATGCATCCCTTACACTCTCATCTCTTCCACCGTCCTGCACCAGGCACACTTTCCAGTCCTTTGTGTAAAAGTGTTTATTGCTTGAGGCCACCTCTTGCTCACTTGCCTCCTTCATACCGGTAGACCCTTACATAGGGTATCTGCACACTCCCATTTTGCACACGCCTGTCCCTCTCTGGTGCACCTGCTTGAGCACTCACTCACCTTCCATCGTCACCCGTTCACACACCTATTCTCCTACCAGTGTGCACACTCCCCTTCTTCGGACACTCCCCTCCCTCCATCCCCCGCTGGGGCTCGCACCATCGCCCCTGCCTCCAGGGACACCTGCTCGTGCGGGGCAGGGCGGGGATGCGCAGCCGCGGCCACTTCTCCTCCGCTCCCCCCTTCTCCGCCCCGCCCCTCCCTTCATCCCTCACCGGCCCCGGGCTCCCGCCCCGCCCGCCCCGCCCGCCCGCCGCTCCGGGGGGGTCTCCGCCGCCGCCGCCGCCGCCGCCGCCGCCGGAAGGAGCCGCCATTTGCCACCGCCGAGCGCACGGGCCGAGCGGAGCAGGAGCCGGGAGCCGGGAGCCGGGAGCCGGAGCGGGACTGGGGCCAGGAGGACGGCGATGGGGGGCGGCCCCGCCGCAGGAGGACACGGGCGCGTAATCCCGGGAGCCCGGCCCGCTCCGGACCCAGACCCGCGGGGCGCGATACCCTGAGCCCCCTCCCCGCCCACCGCCCCGGCCATGGCTGCCCGCCCCGCCGCCCCCGGGCCGCCAGCCCTCCCGGCCCCGCAAGCGCCGAAGCCCCGGCGGCGGCAGCAGTGAACGGCGCTCGCAGGCCCCGAAGACCCCGGCCGGGCTCGGCTCTCCAGCGCGCGCCCCCTCTCCGGCCTTGTCCTCTCCCCTCCCCCCGCCGCCGAGAGCCCCCCTGCGCGCCGCCCCCCGCCCCCCCGGCTCCCGGACGATGCTCAAGTCTCGGCTCCGCATGTTCCTGAACGAGCTGAAGCTGCTGGTGCTGACGGGCGGGGGGCGGCCCCGGGCCGAGCCGCAGCCCCGGGGGGGCGGGGGGGGCGGCTGCGGCTGGGCGCCCTTCGCCGGCTGCTCGGCCCGGGACGGCGACGGCGACGAAGAGGAGTACTACGGGTCGGAGCCGCGGGCCCGGGGCCTGGCCGGAGACAAGGAGCCGCGGGCCGGACTCCCGCCGCCGCCCGCGCCGCCGCCACCGCCGCCGCCCCCGGGCGCGCTGGACGCCCTGTCGCTTAGCAGCAGCCTGGACAGCGGGCTCCGGACCCCCCAGTGCCGAATCTGCTTCCAGGGCCCCGAGCAGGTCAGGCCCCGGCACGCGCGGGGCGGGGCGGGGCGGGGCGGGGTGGGGGCGCGCACCTGGGGCGCCCGGGGAGGCCTCGAGCGGGGAGCGGGGGGCGGGACTGAGGGCGGCGGCGGGGCGGGACCCAGGGTCCGAGGGGGACGGAGTGAGCTTGGGGGGGCTGGCTGGAGACTCCCTGACCGTTCGTGTGGGGCGGAGGGGCGGAGGGGCATCGGGGCTCCCCAGGAAGGGGTGGGGCTTTCTGCTAGTCGAGCTCAGGACGCCTCTCACCCGCTAACGGGACAGCCTCTTTTCCCACTCCCCTCCCCGCAGGGTCTTTGGAGGTGAGGAGGTGGGCGGAGGAGGGCGCCTCTGTGCCCACCTCGAAGCGAGGGGCCCAGCCGGCGCCCTTGCCTCGTTCAGAATTTCTCTTCGTGGGGCACTTTTCTTCACTTCCCATGCTGCAACTTTCCGTCTCATTTCCAAGAGTACTCTTTGTTTAAATGTTACGGACAAAGTTGTCTCGGGATGGTGCTGGGATGTCTCTGTGTCGTGAGAAATTATTCCTGATTAAAAGAAAACACCCTATACTGCAGCCCCCAGGATTTCTCCTCCCTTTTGGAACTTGGAAACTGAGGATGTAACGCATCCCAGTCTGCACCACGTCTGTGAAATACTTTGCAGTGATGGAGCGGGGGAGGAAAGCACGGCTCTGAAGCTCTGACCCTAACACTCCAGATCCTAAGGGGTAGCCTTCCATTTGGGAAGCCTTCAAGACCACCCTCTCCAAATTCTAGGGAAAGAGAAGACCCAGTTTCCCACCCCCAACCCAATCCCTTTTCATCTCTCATTTGTTTGGTCAGGGAAGTTTACATTGGGCTCTAACTTTTGTCTTTTGTGCTGCAGCCTTAGCCCCTTGCCCTGTTTTGGGTGAAAGGCCTGAGCATTTTTAAGGTGGGAGAATGAATGACCTGGAGAGGAGGTTATCCTCTCCCAGGGCAAAGAGCAGTGGGGTCCGGGTGGTGGTAGCTGACCGAGACTCTCATCACTCTTCCTCCAGGGGGAGCTCCTGAGCCCCTGCCGCTGCGACGGCTCTGTGCGCTGCACGCACCAGCCCTGCCTCATCCGCTGGATCAGCGAGAGGGGCTCCTGGAGCTGTGAGCTCTGCTACTTCAAGTATCAGGTCCTGGCGATCAGCACCAAGAATCCACTGCAGGTAAGGTGCAAGGAGAGGACACTCAGACTGGGGCAAGGGCCTTTCAGCAATCAGACTCAGGAGCCCTCCCAGGAGCCTACTTCATCCATTTATTTCCCCTTCCCCACCATGACCACAATTTCCCGTCTGTCTGTAAATTCTCCCTTTCTCCACAAAGACGTTATTGGGTGCCAACTAGAATTCCAGGCACTGTTCTAGGCACTGAGACAACAGCAAAGGAAAAGATGACAATGTCAATGATGATGGTAGCAAACAGTATTTTCTGTCAGGCTTTTGGTGTGTATTAACTTTTAATTTTCATAACAATCCTATTAGTAATAAACCATTATTATTCCTATTTTGAAGATTGATGGAGAAAGAGATTCAAAAACTTGCCCAGGGTTACTCGGGCAGGAAGTGATGGAGTTAGAATTTGGAATTGAAACCTAGGTGGTCTGGTTTCAGAGCACTTGCCCAACCCTGCCTTTCTGAACTACAGCAGGTGAATGGTCTCAAACAATGTGAGCAGTGCCACGCTCTAGGTGTGGTCAGGGCACAGAGGGGACAGGTGTTAATCCTGCCGGGGGCGGGGGGCGCCTTCAGAAAGGCTCCCGGAGCATCCTCCTTCGGGGCCTCCCATCACCTGGCCCTCCATTTCTTTCTGTGACTTTTTGGAGCCCTTTCTCCCACACAGTGGCAGGCCATCTCCCTGACGGTCATTGAGAAGGTGCAGATTGCGGCCATAGTTCTGGGCTCTCTCTTCCTCGTCGCCAGCATCTCCTGGCTCATCTGGTCCTCACTCAGCCCTTCAGCCAAGTGGCAACGCCAGGATCTGCTCTTTCAGATCTGCTACGGCATGTATGGCTTCATGGATGTTGTCTGCATAGGTGAGGGCACCTCTCTCCCCTTTACCTGATGAGCAACTTCCTCCAACTCAAACATTTTACTCTTCCTACCCATTCCCTCAGCTTTATGGCCACATTTTCCACCAAGGAGAGCCTTTAGGGCTATCTCGGTGCCCCTTTCTTCCCAGCTTCTCCAGGCCCTTTGCAACCCTATCTCTTCACTCTAGAACATGCTTGCTTGGCCCTGGACAAGGAACTCAGTTGGTTAGAGTGTAGTCCTGATACACCAAAGTTGTGTATCCACAGTCAGGGCACAGACAAGGATAAATCAATCAATGTATTAATAAGTGGAACAACAAATCGGTCTCTCTTTCTCTCCCTCTCCCCCCACCTCACCCCCTCCCTTTCTCTCTCTCTCTAAAAAAAAGAAAAGAAAAAAAACCTTGCTTAAGCATCTCTGGCCTAGGTCTGGGCAGCAGCTGACCCTGGATATCTTATCCCTCTTGCTCAGGCCTCATCGTCCATGAAGGCTCCTCTGTCTACCGCATCTTCAAGCGCTGGCAGGCAGTGAACCAGCAGTGGAAGGTCCTGAATTATGACAAGACCAAGGACATAGGAGGAGATGCAGGGGGAGGGACAACAGGGAAGCCAGGCCCCAGGACCTCACGGACAGGCCCGCCCTCTGGGGCCACCAGCCGCCCCCCTGCTGCCCAGCGCATGCGGACGCTCTTGCCTCAGCGCTGTGGTTACACAATCCTGCACCTCCTTGGACAGCTGCGGCCACCAGATGCGCGTTCCAGTTCCCATTCTGGCCGAGAGGTTGTCATGAGGGTCACCACAGTCTGAACTGGACTCCAGGAGCGAGGATCTTAAGTCAGTACCTTGGCTACAGATGAGCTATTATGGCTGCTGGAGGTACTACCTGGACCAGATGTTTGGTGCACACTGCCCCCACTACCGAGGATCTCTGTGGGCAGCCTCAAGCTGGAGACATTGTCTGGCTTCTACTGCCCACTGGGTAGAGACACTTGGATGACATTCCAGCCCCCACTGACAGCTCCTCACATTCATCCTGGGGCAGCCAGCGGGCAAATGGGGAGAGCAGCTTTTCTTCCCTAGAGAACCGTCTTTACCTCAGCTCCTAGGGCCTCCAGCCCCTCAGATCTACCACAGTGACTTGGTGAGGGGGGAATCAATGCCAGAAGAAAGGGGCTGTAGACCCCTCCCCCATTCCCCACTTCATGGCCACAGGGCAGCTGGCAATAAGACTAGTACACATTAACCTCCCGTTCCCTGCATGAGGGCGGGGGAGACTTCCCTGGCTCTGCCCCCCATTGCATGGGGGGAGGGCATAAAGAATCATTTATATGCACAAGGAGACTCCTTTCTCATCTGGGGCTTTTTCTGGAGGGTTGGGAGGCGTGGCGAGGTTTCTTTGCAGAGGTTCCAAATCCCAAATGCAGCAGTGGGTTCTGAGTTGGAGGTTTAACTCCCACTTGCTGGTGAGTAATTCATATTGGCTGCTAGATGGCAGTGCTCAGAGGTATGTAAAGGGTGAACCTACCACCTCCAAGTTGTGTGTGATTTAGGAAAAAATCTCTCTACTGTGGTTTGCCTGTCTACCTCATAAGGTTGGAATAAGGATAAAGAAGGGACATGTTGAGTGCCATTGCAAAGAAAATCAGTGATGGCATAAAAAGATTTCTACATGAGATGATGGTTCATTTATTTTAAGTAGCTAGTTAACAAATTTCAAAATGTGTTTTTCATTTGGAGCTGCACAGAGCCTCGGAAATGTGTGTTGAGTGCCATAATAGATATATAAATATGAGGGGAAACAGACGTTGCAGGTGTAAAGGATGGTGGTTACTTGTAAGAACAAGAGCTCCTCCAACCCTGTAAACATGGGGTAGGGGAAGGCTGCTGCTCTCCTTACTCTGGGGATCATTTGGATTCTATGAGTCCTCAGGTTATGTGCTCATTTGGAGAAGCAGTTGGAAGTGAATTTGGACTCATTTGGAGTAAGAGGGTCAGAATCCTTCCATGAGCTGAGTTTCCAGCTCCAGTGTAATCTCCTATGGCAGTTTAGGGTCATAGGTCTGATCCTGGCGTATCGCAGCTAGTGGTATTCACTGGAAGGTGTTGTGCTTGGAGGCAGCAGTGTCGAGGGCAGGTGTCTATAGAGGAGGAGCTGGGGAAGGACTAGTTAAAGCCTCACCCCTTTCTCCTGAGGCCTTGGAGCTGTGTATTGTATGAATGATGGTGAAAGGCTCATCAGCAATTAAATTAATTCACACTTGGCTCAAGTTGGATCCAGAGGCCTTTCCTATTATTAGTCCTTCTTTCAGGGAAGGTTTTCTGCTTTTCCTCTTCCCTGGGGATGTTTTGGAGGAGATGCTTATCTACCAACGGTCACATAGCTTTGCCTGGGTCATTGCCCACCCCTCTCCAAAAGGGTCTTGGTTGCTGTCCATGGTGCTAGCAACCAGACTTTCCTGGGATTGTAGAAACCAAAGTTGGACTTGGATTTGAGTCACCTGGAGGTGTGAAAGTGTATCACTTCCAGGGATCAAAGTGGAGAGGCAACTGAGGCTGAGCAACCCCCACTGCCATTTTTCCAGTGGGAAATTGTTTCCCCAGAGAGATAAGCCTCCACATTCCCTACTTGAGCAGACAGAAGAGCCAGACTTTACTGATTTGCTATTCACAGAATAGTTGGTGGGGATTGAAAGGGAGATAGCAAATCAGAGTGCCTGCTAGTGCCTGTCCTGGTAGATAGGGTTCAGGTCGGTATTACACAGTTGGGGTTTCCTGTGTCAAGCCTGGGCTGCCCCCTTGATGGTCCCACGTGGAAGTTTAAACAATCCCAAGAACATAGGCTCACAGATCCACTATTTCCATCTCCACTCTGGGTCCTAACACCAGGCCAAGTGAGACAGTATATTCCTCTTCCTTTCATCACCATTGACTGACTGTCTTGGTGTTGGGGTTGGGACCAGCAATAAGCACAGTCCCCCATCCTTCCCTTTTCTAACTTAAAGAGATTCATGTCCAGGAAAGGGGTCATAGAAACTGTTGCTCTCCTCAAGTGAGCAGCCCAGCTTGCCCAATGAGGAGTGTGGGTGTACAGAGTCCTCATCAATGAGTTCACGGGAAAGGGTCTGAGAGGGAACGGGGGTTTTATTCTCTCAAAGCTCAAATCTGCTAAAACTCAAGTCACTTAGGTTCGAGCTGAGGTTGGTGATAGGGGCATTGGGGTGGAGACTGAGTGTGGTAAAGAAGGACTTGAGAGGAGGGGAAAGGCAAAAACCTTGGTTTCTGCACAGGGCCTTGGGTACAACACGCCCTCTATTGATCTTACATAAATGGATACTCCCCAGGTGTGGTGACCAGTGGAGTTTCTGTGGTCAGGGATCTATGTCTAGGGCAGGAGGCTGAGGTGGGGGTGGGGGGGTGGGGAGGAAGTGTAAATTGAAATCTCCATCTCTATCTAGCTAATTGGAAGGGGGTGTGAGCAGAGCAGGAGCAAGGGGACAAGTCCTGACATGGAAAGGATAATCCGGACTACACAGGGAGCTGCGGGGAGTGTGCTGAGAGATTTATGTGTGTGGAAGATGAGTTAATCTGTATATATCACAAGGGGAGGACTGCACCCAACTTCTGGGGGGCCAGAGACTGCTGACTCAGGGAAACAGGCTCCCTCTACCTGCCCCCTTCTGCCTTGGTGCCCCAGGGCTTCTGGCCGCCCCCACACTGAGTTTTCATTCTGTCTGACTTCACTTCTCTGCCTGTATCCTTGCCTTTCTCCAAAGAAAATGACTTTGGAGCAACTTTTCCAGAGAGGGCAGAGTAGCCATTCTAGGATGCCCTTCAGTCTAGGCTCCAAAAACACTTCTACCAAAGAGTCAGTTGCCTCTGGCCATCTCTGCAAATCCCTAGTTCCCAACCCACTTTTACAGCCCTTATGGTTACTTTTCACTATCACCCCCTTAATCTCTCCCAGGGAGCCAGACTTGGCTGTTCTCACTCCACACAGAAACATGTCTGGGTCTGCAATGCAAATCCATTTTCCAAGTGTCTAGACCTCCCATGTTATGGGGTCACTCCAGGGTCTGAGATACCAAGGTTGGGGATTTGGGTGAGGATATTGCCTCCAGGTCTTGTAGGAAGTGGGAGTGAGAGAGAAATAAGTCAAAAATCAAGGAGGGAACCTTCAGGATTTTTTTTTTTTAATTTCAAAACTATGAATAGTTCAAATTTTCAAAATATAAAAAGAAGGCATACACAGGGACAAGACCTGAAATGTCTCTGCTTAGGAACTAAGTGGTGGGGCAAGCCAATTTAATAGTGACCAGAGGAGCAAAGATTGTTGTTGTTTTGTTTTGTTTTTTTCAAGGATAGTTTTTTTTTAAGATTTTATTTATTTATTTTTAGAGAGGGAACGGAGGGAGAAAGAGAGAGAGAGAGAAACATCAATGTGCAGTTGCTGGGGGCCATGGCCTGCAACCCAGGCACGTGCCCTGACTGGGAATCGAACCTGCGATGCTTTGGTTTGCAACCTGCACTCAATCCACTGAGCCATGCCAGCCAGGGCTCAAGGATAGTTTTTTTTTTTTTTTAAATCATAAACCAGGCAAGGGCAGACTCACCCTCCTAGAGGCAAGGTGAGAAGGAATGGGGTAGACAGATCTTGGTAAGCTGCTTGGAGCTTTGGTAACCTTCTGCTAGATGGTCCAGATTCAGTCTGAGAATTTGTGTGGTATCACTTAGGGATAGGCCCTGGTAGGGGATATAAAGACTGAATAAGGCCTCATTTTTCCTCTCAAAGAGCTCACATAACAAGGAGAGAGGACCAACCAGGTGCAGACCAGATGCACAAGTACTTAGCTTGTGTCATGCTAAGAGCTTAGCCAGCAGCATCAACGAACACTGTGGAAGCCCCAAAAGGGCAGCAGTGGAATTCTCCCTCAGATCGCCCAGCATTATTCATTAAAGTCTGAGCTAGCCCTGGAAGGATACATATGACACAACCAGGAGAAGGGCTGCACAGGCAGAGGGACTATGGTTTTCTCTGGGCCTGCTGGGTCAGGCCAAATGCACACTTCACACCTTGGTCAGGGCTGCCTCAAACCATTTGCTATGGCCATTCTGACCAGTCTGATCAGATAGACAGTCCTCAGGGGAAACACACATCTCTTGCTCTTATGCCTAGTAAACCTCCATGAAAAGAGAAAGGGTAATGATAACAGCATCCTTCCACAGGACTATCTGTCCACAAACTGTAGGTTAATGCTCCTCTCGGGCACCAGCACAGTCCGGGTCATGGGTCTGATCGGAGCAGCGCCTGGCTCAGGCTGTACCTCAAAGTGGGTCAAGATCTGAAAAGGGAGGAAGAAGGCTGTCACTATGAGAGGTGTCTACAGTGTTGGGCCCTTTTGGTCATAGGCATTATGAGTGTTAGGGTGGTCAAGGTTGGAATGGCACCTGTGGCTGGTAATGGACGTCTTGGTTAATCAGGACAATGAATTATGGTAGGGAAAAAGATAGTCCAAATGCCCTCACTTGGTTTCTAGGCCTATAATGGGATTTACATATTTCAGAGAATTAGGTCTACCAAATCTTAACTGTTTTCCTATGCTTGTCAGAAGAGGAGCTCACAGCTTTAGAGTGTTAGGTCCCTCTCAGTCTAGATCACTCACCTGGGCCAAAGCCATTTGCAGCTCAAGCTCTGCCAGGCGTCTCCCCATGCAGCTGCGCTTGCCGAAGCCAAAGGGAAGAGATGCAAATGGGTGGGGAGCTGGACCTTCCCCCAGCCAGCGAGCTGGACGAAAAGTATTTGGCTCTGGGAACTGAGTAGGGTCCCTTGAAGTAGCATAGTGACACAGAGTGACCAGCGTCTGGTGAGGGAAAAACACAAACTTGCCAATTTTGGCCCAGGAATGCAGGGAGGGACACGGAGAAGAGGCTACATGGACTGGAATGAAGGCAAGTTCTGGTGGGTGATGGGGAAATTTCCTGGGGCTGCTTCTGGAAGGATTTCTCCACTGCATTCAGGCGAGCGGAGGGTTTGAAGGGTTTATGGAGAGCTGTTACAGGACAGGGGCCATGACAGTGAGAGAGGCTTAGCAAAATGGACCCATAGGCTCTACTCACGTTTTTGGGGATAGTATAATCGCCTACACGAATGTCCCTGTCTGGAACACGGGAATTTCCAGGCACTACAGGGTACAGTCTGGGTTGCAGAGCACAAGGAGAGACAGAAGGGTGAGGTTGGGGGCCATTACCCTCCCTCACCTGCTGGCAAGTTCCAAACCCATTCTTGGCCAGGAGTACCACTTAATTCTGTTTTCTGCCTGCTTGCTTGTACTGTCTGCCTCTTCAGCCCTTCCCCAGCATTTTCTCTAGCCCCTCCTCTACTGTCCCCTCACCTTAGCACCTCCTTGAGAACCGCCTTCAGCAGGGGCAGCTGGGACAGGGCAGTGGCTGAGGAGTGGGCATTGGACCCCTGGCCCAAGGCAGCTGTGATCTCAGCATGGAGTGCTGTTTGGACTTCTGGGTGTCGGGACAGCTCATATAAAGCCCAGGCGAGGGTGTTGGACACCTGAGAGGACAGGTGAGAGCATCGGAAGTATTAAGAGAGGGGAACCTGTATAGGGAGCAGAATATGAAGCTGCCTGGAGCTCAGGAAGTGATAACCGAAGCTGGTATGGAGGGCCACAGTGAATCCTCTGCAGGACTGAGCTGCTTGGGGAGGCCAAGCTCGGAAAGGAGGGAGAACTTTACCGTGTCCACTCCGGCTAGCAGCAGCTCTGTCACATTCCCCAGGATGGAAGGGGCAGGCAACTGTTCCTGGAACAGGAAGTAGGTCAGGTGCACCCCAGATCCCTTTTCCTCCTCAGGCCTTCTCTGGCTCCTCATGGCTATCTCAGCCTCTCGCCGTTCCATGTGCTTCTGGGCTGCGAGGAGAGAAGAAGCCCGAATGCCTCACTATCCCTGAACAGCATTACGATCCCCTGTCCACACTTCATTTCTGTGCCTTACCAAATGCAAACATCTGGTCCCAATCTTGGCAAAGGCGCCCCCAGGGTCCCGGCACAAGGCGGTTCAGCCATTCGGGCATCGCCATGGTCAACAGTGTGGACACAAACACAGATCCCACGGCGTGAATGAACGTCTCTGTATCTGGAGGCACTTTGGCTTCCAGGCAGCCCAGGCGCGAGCCCAGCAACACGGCAGCTATGCCTGACCGAGAGGGGGCGCTCTCAGGACACGGGCAGGGGCTGGGGAACAACCCCTCATCCCCTTGCGGGTGCTTTCTAAGCTTGCCCCGAACTGTCTAGAGACTCACCTTCCAGTCCAAACTTGTAAAACTCTCCGGCTACATCACGAACCAGGGCGGGGGGGCCAGCACCGCGTCCCCGTTGGCATCGCAGCCGTTGCACAAGGTCAAGAACCACGTTGTCTAGGGTCCTGGCATAGCGGGCAGCCGCTTGAGGCCGGAGGAGGAGCGGGGCAAGGAGGCTGCGGAGCCTTTGCCATTCTTCGCCTTCCCTGCGAGGGTACGGAGAGAGGGCGCGTCAGGGCAGACTGGGGTGTGTGGAGACCGCTGGACGCAGTTGGCTGCGGTTGAGGAGCGCGTTCGGCTCTGGTGGCTAGATGAAGGGTTGCGTCTACTTTCTCGGGGTACAGGAACCTGCCTTGTCTGTGCCCGCCTTTCGTCCCCCTTCCTTTCGTCTCTCTTCCTCGTTACTCATTTCCTGCCCCAGAGGGGCCTGGGTTCCTGGGTAGCCTGACTCACAGAATCTTGCATTCTATCTGGTACCCTAGACCATTTTGCCAGTATCCAGGATTCTGTTCTTAAAAGAAGGACGGGGTAAGGGGGTGGGGCGACGACTGGGCTCTACCTGACTTTGGGCGAAACCGACTGAGGTGGAAACCCCTCTTTGCCAGAGTCTGGGTGAAACGGCAGCCCATACACCCGACTGTCTCCAGACCCGCCACAGGAGAAGGGCGCAGCAGACGTTCTGGGCTTTGGGGCCAGAGAGGACTCACGCGGTGAGCAGTCCGCAAGCCCGCTGGCGCCGGCGACGGTGCTCAACCCAGGGCGAGAAGCTGCAGCGCTCCGGCCGGGGCCCCTCCTGTCGCAGCAGTTGCTCAATGAGTGTAGGGGCCGCCACGTACACCGTGCGCACCTTCCCGAAGCTGGCCAACCACACAGGACCGAAGCGCGCGGTGCCCCTAACCTGGGAGAATGGGCACGGTGAATCCTGGAGACACAGGCAGGGGACTCCCAGCTTGGCCCGTGCCAAGGCCAAGGGCATTGCTGGACTTTGGAAAGGGAGCTTTCTGCTCCTTTGCGAACTCCCAGCTAGTGTATGGTTCTAGTGCTGCAAATCCCTCCTACTCTTCACTCCACTTCCCATCTCTAGAAAGTTCGAGTGTGATGGGCAAAACGGAAAAACTTTGCTTAGACATTCAGTACCTCTCTTTGGTTACATGGGCGGAACCGCAGCAGGAAAATCCCTAAAGGTTCCTCATGCAGACTGTCCATTTCAGGACGAGCCCCCACTGACTGTATTGGTGTGCAGGTAGTTTTAAGCCCAACGCGCCGAATGCACGGGGAAGGTAGTGTGCGTTTCTGCCTCCCGTACATTTGTCCTGGACCTACCTGCCTTACCTGGCTTCCAGACTTCTTCCCCCCTAGAAGGCACTTTTTGAGTGAATGCCTCTGCTGGGTGTGGGGGGTGGACTCTGCGCAGCTCGACCTAAAGCCCCAAATCCCCACTTGTCTTTTCTGTAATTCACAGGCATCCGTTCTCACTGGCCTTCCCTCTTACTTTTTACACTTGTCTGTTTCCCCAGCATTCAGTCCCAGAACAGGGTCCCCCTCTACCTGCAGCTCGTGTAGCCGCGACAGTCCCCCCTTGCAGAAAAGTTCGGCAAGGAAACCCGGCGTGGAGGGGCCTGGGATGTCCGCCAAGCTCCAGGGCGCTGAGCCAGAGCTTCTGGAGCCCAGTGAGGCGCCCGGCTCGGAAGCACAGCGGGCGCGATGCAACACTCTGGAGGCGAGCTTGAGGGGCTGGGTCATGATCTGGTTCAGGAATACAGTACTTCTGAGCATCTTGCCTGTACCCCTATTTAACCCTTGGGCGAGATAGTGGTGACGCCCCTTCTCCAAGTTACTCAGCCAATCCTCTTTCCTGAGTGGTCTGTGCTGGGATTAGCACCTAGAACAGTAGGAGGGGCTGAGGCTGTCTCCACAGCTTCCTGGGATCTTGAGTTGCAATGACCCTCTTGGGAGGGGAGGCCTGCCTCAATTTCCCCTTCTGGGCTGGCACCCTAGTCCAGCAGCCTGAAGACCTCTTCCTGGGAAAGGCTATTTAGTAAGGTTTAGGTGACCAAGATAGAGTCAGTCCAATATACCCACCACTTCTCCGGGGAGCCAGACCCTTAGCCCATTCTCAGGAATTCCCCATCCTCCAGCTCCTCCGGGAAGGGAAGCAAGCTAGGAAGAGGAACAGCTGTAGCTGTCCCCATATTCTTGGCTCATCAGGCTGCACCTATGTGAGCAGAATTTTCTTGCATTACCACATCTCACCCACCTCCTGGACCTGACACTGGGCAGAAGGCAAGTGAGTTCATGGGCTAAAATGGGTCCTGAAGCCTTCATCTTTGTTCCTTGTGGAGGTCTGTGGGTGGTGCTGTTAGGTAAACAAGCCCTGTCCTAGCTATGGGAATTTGGGGCTTGCGGAGCAGAAATGAACTTGTGCAAATTAGAGAAGTTCAGAGATTTCTCTGGACTGCTGGGCACAGCAAGGGATAAATGAGTGCTCGGAATCTCCAGCTGACTGTCTTTCCCAGGGAGCTTTGTAGTCTGCAGCCCCTTTCCACTTTTAGCCTCAGAATCCTCCAGTTTAGTTTTCTGCTCCTTATTCTCCCACCCCCCCCCCATCAGTCTCTGTGCCAGCCAGTCAGCTCCAAAGTTCTGGAATAGGAGGTCAATATGAAAAAGGAGGGTCTCCAACCCACACCCTCCCTGGGGCCCTTCAGAGACAGCCATAATAAAAGGAGCACAGATTCCCCAGGTCAAGTCTTAGGCAGGGAGAGGATGGGAGGCACCTGATACACATTCTAGCCTTCCCTGAGAAATAGCAGCAGGGCATGCGCCCATGCAAACGTTATTCCCAGGACTGCAAAGGGCACACAAGTGGACATGTGATTTGAGCCTAGCAGGCAGTTTAGTTGGACAGCGGAGAACTGTATTCCTCACTTGAGACAGAGATCCCAGAGGGAGAAAGAAGTGCTAATGGAGGGCAAGACCCCACACCCTCCCAAGCGGTCCCTTCTGGTCCGAGGTCTTCTGACCTTCCTGGTCAGCTTCCTCTGCTTTCTGAAAGCCATAGAGGGTCAGGAAGGTGAGAGGAAGCAAGGATATTTGTGAAAACCAGGGTTTGGCCTTGGGCAGTTCCCCAACTTCTTTGAGAGACTATTGCCTCTGAGCCCCAACAGTCTCAGCTGGGAAGGTCCAGGGGGCTGATCTTCTTTCTAGTTCCTGGAATACGGAGTCCAGATAAAGCAAGGTAAGCAGTCAGTGACCAGTAGGGGTAGGATTGGGGGTCACCGCCTGGAGGGTGGGATCCTGTATTCTTCGAAAGATGGCTGGGAAATTCTTTCCTCCGTTGCGTAGAACTTTCTTTCCCTCCTCGGTTGAGGTGCCCAAATGTCCAACAATGGGGTCTTCACTCTGAGAGAAGGGTCCAGTAAGTTCTCGCCCACCTCTGGCCCCAAGACTCCCATCCCATCCTCTTGTCACTGAGCTGGGTTCAAAGAATATTGAACCACTCTCTGGAATGGGCCTGTGTCTTCACAATTTCCTGTAGGCCCCCAACTTACCAGCTCCTCCACAGGTACACGCTCAAACAAGGGGTGCCCTTCAAAATGCGTACACATCCATTCATGTAGTTCCAGCACATCGGTTATAGTATACACTAGCCCCTGAATAGGCAAAATCGGGGGTAGGGGGAGGAGAGGGCTACATGCAATTGAGCAGTGAGATAATGGAATGTACTCCCATTGAATTCTTAGCGTAAGGTCCCTGAAGAGGTCACTCACCCCACCCTCCTTCCCACTTTCAACTCACCCCAACTCTCAGCACGTAGGCATATTCTGCCAGCAATGTGGGACTGATGATTCGCCACTTGTGCTTTGTCCGCTTGAAATGTGGGTCAGGGAAGAGGAAGAACATCTTTGTCAGCTGTGAGACAGACATGCATTGCCTGGGTGGTGAGAGTCTGGCCTCCATGTCTCACCTTCCTGCCAGCCTAATCCCCCAGGGCCCCTCCCCACCTGGCCCTTGCAGAAGAAGTTGGGAAGGTGTTTCATGGCATTGCTACGGAGACAGGCGATGTTCTGGAAGCCACCTCCAGGAGCTGCTCGTAGGGCTCGAATCCGGTCCTGTACATAGTCTGAGACCTTTACCCGGATCTCCAGACCCAGAATCAGCGTGTTTGGGAACAGCGGTGACAGTTCCACTAGGCACAGAAATAGGAATGGAATCATTGACCTCATACTGCAGGAACTTCAAAGGAGTCAATAAAGGAAAGGAAACCTTAGTTTGCAACCACCAAAACAGGAATGGCAAGTGTGGGCAGAGAAATGTCTATACGGATGCTTCTACGTTGGAGAAGGTTGGGGAGATTCAAAAATTGTCACCAGAACTGGAAGTGGGAGGGCCTGGGAATACATGTATATCTGCAAATGCTTTAATGTTCTTACACATTCTCTCATTTAATACTCTTGGTGCTCTGTGGTAAGTTGTGAATATGAGGAAACTGAGGGTCAGAAATGCTTAAGGTCACAAAGCTAAGGAGAGAACTGGAACTTGAACCAAAGTTTCTGCCACCAAGTATCACACTCTTCATCTCCGTCATGCCCTCATCTCTTGGAGGAGAATTAAAAATAGAGAAGTGGCTCAGCAAGCACATCTGGGGCAATATAGACAATACAAGAGGAACTCAACAACAGGAGAGTGGAGCAGCAGGAATGAGCTCTGGTGAGGAAGGGGGGAGTGGTGGAATCCCTGAGAAAGTCTGTTCAGGATCACTGGCCACACTGGCTAATCTCTGATGCTTGTGCTTAACAGCTCACTGACCCGACACTTGGCAGGTGAAATGGCTCACGTAGTGACTGGAGCCAGGGGCAAGGCCAGACTGGACAACCTAAGTTCTAAGAGGCATTTGAGGCAGCCCCCTCCCTTCTCCAGGGCAAAGGCCACAGACCCAGAGTAGAGGGAAGGTGGAGACACTCCACACTGACGTCATAGCACCAGTGTTGGGTCCGAAGGGGAAAGGCCAACTATGGCCCCCACCAAACTGCTGAGGTGGCAGAATCTAGGCACTGCTTCGCCCTGTCCAGAGAAAGGGCCAGACAGAATGTTACCTAACAGGCCACCATAGCCACAGCCTATGTCTGCAAACTCCACTTGGGCCTGAGCTCTCTTTTCTTTCTTATCCTTTGGATCATCATGGCTCAGATTTTGAGTCAATGGAGCGAAGAATTCTGGGTATAACTCAGACCAATCCATCTCCTCTGGCTTCACAGGGCTGTTGGAGAGAAGACGTGAGAAATATGAGAAAGCTGGCCATACCAAAGCAGAAGTGGTACTTCATGTGCGTGGGTGGATGGTAAGAGTGTTAAGTAGTTGCGAGGGTGTCTCAAAAATTCTGCAACAGCGGGCCCAGTGCCCTCTGGGAGGCAGGCAAAGTGGAAACCACCCTGTGAATCACAGGCCCATCATGAGGCCCATGATTGCAGACCAGCCCATCTCCGTAATTTGGGGTTGATGTGACTCTGGTTGGGCACAAGTTCCCCTTCTCCCACAGAGTGGCTGTCTAAGGCACTGGGATGTTACTTTGTTCACGTGCTCTGCGCGAAGAGGATGGAGTAAGGTGAGGGTAGGATTGGGTGTTTGTCTTTTTATTAAATCCGACAAAGGAAACCTTAAGTTGTAAAGAGCACTCTGCCGCCATTACTTCAGTCTCAGCAACAATTTTTCTCCAGCCAGTCTTGCACCGCCTCGAAGACTTGGCCAGAACGCCACGCCCCCGCCAACCCCGCCCACTGCCAAACGCACCGGACCCTGCCCACCCTCCCGGGGCTATCCTGTGCTTTCCCAACCGTCCCAGTAAGATCGCTCTCCGGGCGGCTTTGGGCCATTCTGAGTATTCCGCCCTCCTTCCTGCCCTGCTCACTCACTAGCGCAGCGTATGGTCCGCCATGGGATTGGAGTGAGCACGTTGTCGATAGTAGCGCTTCTGCGGCTGCAGGGCCTGGGCTCCCGCCATGGTCCTCCGCGGGATCGTCTCCACCGAACTCACGTGGAGACCGCCGTCTGCGGCGCACAACGATGACGCATCAAACAGACCCCACCCCTTAAAGACCCAGGAGAGAATTCCGCGGGCCGGGCGGGGAGGACCCGAGGGGGCCGGTGCGGCGAGGCGCCTCGGCCCCGTGAGTGTGGAACCCGGGTGGCCACACCGGAACCGGCACCCAACCTCCTTCCACAGCCTGCGTCGGCCAGCCTGGGTCACCGTCCTGGGTGCAGGAAGCCGTGCATCACGCAGGTAAAAGAGGTCTGGAGACCCCACTTCCTACAGTAGAATTAAACCTCGCGCCGCTCCCCTCTTTCCCGATCTCGGACAGGACTGCCGGGTCTGATCTGCCTGGTCTGGGGTGAGTCCTGTCGGGTGTGGGCTGGGGACCGGAGCGGGAGGTTGGCTCCTCATTCCACCCCCAGGAAGTCAAACTGGAGGAAGGAGAGCGAACTCAGGGAGGCGGGGCTCGGTGCCACGGGGCAGCCGAGGCGGCCCGAGGTCCCCCAACCCCCGTCCAGCTCCAGATCCGGGATCCCAGGGCCGGCTACCGCACCCCGAACTCTCTGGGCCAGATGGGGGATCTTCGTCAAGATCCAGCCTCCGAGCCCGAATCGGTGTTCCCGAGGGAGGTCGGGCTCTTCGCTGACTCTTACTCGGAGAAGAGCCGGTTCCGTTTCTGTGGGCACGTACTGAGCATCACGCAGAACTTCGGGTCCCGCCTTGGGGTGGCAGCGCGCGTGTGGGATGCGGTGAGGAGTGGGTGGCCCTGGGCGAGGATCCGCGGGAGATCCAGACCCCAGACTCTCCCTTTGCCATATGGAGCTCCCCCGCGACTGTCTCCCACACACCCCCCCCGCCCCTCTTTTTTTCTCCTATAGGCTCTGACCCTGTGCAACTATTTCGAAAATCAAAATGTGGATTTCCGAGACAAGAAGGTGATCGAACTAGGCGCGGGGACCGGCATCGTGGGGATCTTGGCGGCGCTGCAGGGTGCGTGAGCTTTGTGGCGGGAGAGGGTTGGGGGAATGGGTGTGTGGAGAAATCGTCACTTTTTGGATTCTTGAGATTGGGAATGGTTTGGGACCTGAACAACACCTTTTTTTCTTTTAACAAACTTTTTTTTCTGTCTGCTTTGTGTGGCAGGCAGGGCTCATTGGCTGTCAGAGCCCGCAAGGTCGTTTATTTGGGAGCAGGATATAAAAACCTGGTAGGCCTTAACAAAAGAAATGTTTTGTGTGTGTGAAAGTAACTTGTGGGTATTAAATCCTAGTGAAGGTTTTATAACTTTATTATGAGTATTTTTTTTTTTTTAGATTTTTAAGGTTTTGATCGCTTGGGAGAAAGCTTAAGAGTTTCTGAGGGATAGGATGTGTTTTGTGGGAAGTAGGGTAGGAATTAGGTACCACACACTTGGGAAAGGAAAAGGTAAAAACTTTGCTTCAGTTTTTGTCAAGAACCGAAAACTACAAAGGAAACAGTTCCTTAATTTATAATCCGATAGTCAGGCAAAACCTTGCACAGGAAACACTCATTTAAAAACACTTACGATGTCATCTCCCTGGAAATGCAAATGAACATGTCCTGGTTTGGAGAGACATGACTAGGTTAATATTCAGGGATATCTTCCCAGAGGCAGGATTTTCTCATTCTTCTATTAATTTGGCCAACATGTATTTGGAATTTTCTGTGTGCCAGGAGTCATGCTAGGTCATTAAAATACAAGTAAGACAGATTTCCTCTCCTCAAGGAGCTCATGGTCTAGTGGGGAAGACAGGGAGGGTGTCACAGTACAAGAACCCTGGTAAGGTGTGCACTGCGCCTGCAGACATACTTTGGCCATGTCTCCCTTGACTCCTTGGAATCCAAGGAGAAGATCTGTCAGGAGGGAAAGAGGTGAACAGTGTGAACTTAGCAGGCTCAAAAGGGACTGAAGGAGTGTCAGCAGTAGTTTTCCATGAAGGATAGGTGAATAAGAATTGGGCAGTTATGCTAAAGTGGGAGGAGGGCAAGTAATATGGTTGGGAACACCTACTTTCACTTGCTCCTAGGCTGGTTTCTCCTCCTTTGAACCCTGTTCAGCTGCCAAGCCAGAAGTGTGACTGTCATCTTGTTCCTTACCCTCTCCCCTCCCATCCTAGCAATCAGCCAATCCTATGGGTCACGTGTCCTTAATGCTCCCCCAGTTGTGTACTCTTCCCACCATCTCTAGTTCAGGCTGCTGCCATCTCTTCCCTGGATTTTCATGAGAGCTTTTAGATGGGGAAGTTTGGTGTCCCCAGACTTGACTTTCCCCAAACCTCAGACTTCCCCATCGCAGTGAATCAAACCACTGCCTAGTGGAAAACCTAGAAATCACCTTGGACACATTTCGTTTTCTCAACCCCATACCCATTATTCAGGTCCTATTGATTTTATCTCCTATCAATCTCTTAAACCTCATGTTTTTCTGTGCACACTGACAGCTCCCCAGCCCATGGCACCACCATTATTGGCCAAAACTGCCACAGTTGGTCAAACTGGTCTTCCTGCTTTGACTCCTTTTCACCCCCGAGACCTCTGTCCGTTCCACCTAGCAGTCAGAGTGATCTTTTTAAAAATGTGACTGGAATCACCTGCCATTCCATCTTTCAGTAGCTTCTTGTTGCTTTCAGGATAGAGCTAACATGTTCAACATAGCCTCTAATGTCCTGCCTCCCTCTCTAGCCTCTTTCTGTACCTCTCCCTCCCCTTCCTGTATGCCTTGTGCTACCTATTACCCTTCTTTCAGTTCCTCAAGTCTGTCCTTTTTTTTTTTAATTTATTGATTTTGGAGGGAGAGAGAGGAATAGAAAGAGAAAGAGAGAGACCAATTTGTTGTTCCATCCATTTATGCATTCACTGGCTGATTCTTGTATGTGCTCTGACTGGGGATTGAACTCACAACCTTGGCATATTGGGATGATGCTCTAACCAACTGAACTACCCAGCCAGGGCCTCAAGTCTATCTTGGTGTTCCCTTCCTTGGAGACTTCACACAGGCCACACTCTGTGTCTGAAATCCTTGTACAGCTGGTTAATACATATGCATTCTTTACTGCTCAGCTCCACATCACTTCCAAGGGAAGGCCTCCTTGACGCAGCCATTCCCAGGATAGCTTGGGCCCTCCTAGTATATACACAACTGTGCTGACTGGTTTCATTTTAAATGTGTTGTTACTAACTGCAGGTTCATCCTTAAGTGCTACCCAGCTAGCTTATTACACCTCCCTCAATCACTTATTTTTTTCTCCTAAACTTCTGATTTGTACCTTCTTACCCTTCAACCCTCCAAATGCTTCCTCTCTGGTCTTTACTCTTAGCTGGTGACTTTGTTTTCGATCTCTTCTGATTGCTTCTATTTTCTCATAGAAAAAGTCCACATATTCCTATCAGAACCTCTGCTCACCTAACCTCTGCGTCTGGGCCTGTGTGCTGCCTTCTCTCCTGCTGTGTGTGTACCATGACTGAATGCTATGCTCCTAGCTAAGGTCAAGCCCTCCACTTGTCAAGAGAAATTAAGCCTTCTCATCTACTCCAAGACATTATTCCAGCAAACACCTCTCCTCCCACATCTCTCATGCATTATCAGATTTTCCTTCTCTCTGATCATTCTCTCTGTGTGTATAATGCACATAAATACACTGCAATTTCTCCTACTTCAGAAGAACTTTACATCCTACTTATCTCTCCTGGTACCATACCATTTCTCTTCTACAACAAAATTCCTCAAGGGTTCCTCTCTTCCTATTCTTTCCTCAATCCATATCAAGTAGACAGCTCTGCCCCCACCCCATGTCCCATCCACTCCAGCTGTTCTAGTCAAAGCTGTGAGCTTCACTTTCAACTCCATGCAGTTAAACACAGGAGTCAGTTATGAGCCCACCTTTCTTAACTTTGTAGGATTTGGCATTCCTTCCTCCTTGAAGCATTTCCTTTGGTTTCCAGGGTACCACACTTCTAGTTTCTGCCCACCTTGCTTTTCCATTCTCCTTTGTTGGTTTCTTTTCATCCTCACAACTGGAGATTTGAGTGCCCCAGGGCTCAGAAGATGTGCTGTGAGCCCTTCCCTTTGCTGTCTGCAGTCACTCCCAAGCAGTCCCATCATGTCATGGATTTAAATACCCTTTCTATGCGGACTTGTCCTTCTCCACCTCCAGACTTGTTTGTGTGACCTCCTGCTACTTGGATAGTATGTGCTTGTCTGATGGACATCTCACACTTAATGTATCCAGAGACAAACTCATGATCTTCCTGTCCAGTCCTGCTCCTCCTAAGGTCTTCCTCATCTAGATGAATGGCAATTCAGTCTTCCAGTTGTCAGGCCAAATTGGTGCCAGGCTCAATTTCTCTCTAATATTTTGTATCTAATCCGTCAGCAAATTCTGTTGGCTCTACCTTCAACATATATTCAGGATCCAACCATTTCTTAGACAGACATTGCTACTGCCCTGGTTCAAACCACCATCACCTCACTGGTGTCAGTGCAGCTACCTCCTAACTGGTTTCCTTGCTTCTGACCCCGCCCCTCTGCTGTTGGTTCTCATCCCAGCAGCCAGAGTAATCCTTTAAAAGCGTGACTCAGTGTATGCCATTCTTCCATTTAAAATTATCCAGTAGCTCCTTATCTCACCCAGATGAAAAGCCAGATTTCTTATAGTCTCCTGAAAAGGCCCTGGTTAGGATCTGGTGCTCGCTTTCATCTCCTTCACTTACTCTGCTCCAGCTGCAGGCCTTCCTGCTGCTCCTTAGGCCTGCCAGGTTCACTCCTGCCTCAAGGTTTTTGCATGCACTGGTCCCTCATTTGGTCATTTTAGCCTGAAATGTCCAAGTGGTTTGTTCCATCACTTCCATTAGGGCTTTGCCCAAACTATCTCCTCAGTAAGGGTTTCCCTAACCATCCCACTGAAAATTATATCCTCTGCCTGTCCCTCAAGCCGTTCTTCCTCTCCTTCCCTGCCTGATGCTTCATTCAAAAGAGCACTTATTACCATCTGATGTACAATGTATTTTATGTGTTGCGTTTGTCGTCCCTTTCTTGTCACCAGACTGTAAGTTCCATTAGCAGAGGGATTCTCATCTAGATTGGTTTACTGTGGTATTCTCAGCACCTGGCATATAGGCACATAATAAATAGGAATGAATGAATTCTTTTTTTAAAGATTTTATTTACTTATTTTTAGAGGGAGGGGAAGGGAAGGAGAAAGAGAGGGAGGGAAACATCAATGTGTGGTTACCTCTCGTCCACCCCCTGCTGGGGGCCTGGCCTGCAACCCACTCATGTACCTTGACTGGGAATCAAACCAGTGGCCTTTGGTTTGCAGGCCAGCATTTTATCCACTGAGCCACACCAGCAAGAACTGAATGAATGAATTCTTAATGGTCATCATGGTTATGATTAAAGAGTTTTGCAATACTTAGTGTGTCTCTGCCTCTCGGATAACTCTAGAAAGGCTGAGGTTTTTTCTTGCTCACCACTGTATTCCCAGAACTTAGATGCTCAATACATGTATTTACTATGTGAACGAAGCTTTCTGAGATGCTAATATGGTTATCTTCACCCCCTACTTCTACATTTAAAACCAATTGCCCTCAGTTCAGGATCAAGCCCAGCTCTCTTTAGCATATCAATAATCATTTTTTCTCTTTACTCTCATGTCTTGACACTTTTCTCCTCCCTTCCACATATCTAAGGTCCAGCCTTCCTTGAATACTCCATGCTGTCTCACCACCAGGCCTTTGTACTCCCTGTTCTCTGCTTGGAAAGCACCACCTGACTAACTCTGACTTGTCCTTTAAGGCTCACTGAGGTCACATCTTCTGGGAAGCTTTCCAGACTCCTGAAAGCTGGTCTGTCAGGAAGGGGTGGGTGCATAGCCCTTCTCCAGCTTAGTGCCTTCCAGGCTTCTGCTGACATGTGACTGTTGTGTTTTGAGCAGAGGGGTTGAAGATTAGCTCAGAGAGAATGTTGATGTTGTAGAATGTAGAGTAATGAGAATGGCAGTGGGTAAGATGGAGGTTAGGGCAACTAAAAGCCAAAGGGTGGACTTTGGTCTGTCAAGACATTGTCCTCAAGGCCTTGAGGTCTCTGAACCTTCTGGGCAAGAGCTGAGACCCCTTTGTTGGTCCCACTGACTTGCATTTCTTCTCCTTCCTCTTTCTCAGGGGGGGATGTTACCATCACTGACCTGCCCCTGGCCCTAGAACAGATCCAGGGCAACGTCCAGGCCAATGTGCCAGCTGGAGGCCGGGCCCGGGTCTGTGCCTTGTCCTGGGGGATCGATCAACATGTCTTCCCTGGCGACTATGACTTGGTGCTGGGGGCTGATATCGTGTATCTGCAGCCCACCTTTCCACTGCTGCTGGGGACCCTCCAACACCTGTGTGGGCCCCAAGGTACCATCTATCTGGCCTCCAAGATGAGAGAGGAGCATGGGACAGAGAGCTTCTTTCAGCACCTCCTGCCCCAGCATTTCCAGCTGGAGCTGGCCCAGCGGGATGAGGATGAAAATGTCAACATCTATAGGGCCAAGCACAGGGAACCAAGACCTGCTTGATGTCACCCTTCTCCGAACTCCTTGTCTAAATGAAGAAACGGCCATATCTTCAAAGCCAGGAACATGAGGACCAAAAAGGATGGATTTCCCTTACTTTTCTCTTTTCTCCTTCCCTCTTAGTTCTCCCAGATACTTTTGGGTTGATGCAGGGAGGTGCCTGCTTGCTAGGAATCCTTGAGCCCCAGCAGCACTGGGTTAGAGCAGAAAGGAAGTTCCCGGCTCCTGTTCTCAGCAAAGGATGATGGGAGGATAGCCAGGGTTTTCAGTAGGGAAAGGGAAGGTAAATGGGATGCGAGAGCAGTGACTGCAGAGAGACTGTCGTTGATCACTTCCAGTCCTGTTGTCTTTTTATACAGAATAGATTTTTTTTTTTGCCAGATTCTACTGGAATATTTTTTATCCTCACCAAAGGGCATTTTGTTGTTGTTGCTGATTTTAGAGAGAGGGGAAGGGAGACAGAGAAATATAGGTGTGAGAGAAACATCGACTGGCCGCCTTCTGCACACTCCTGGACCAGGGATCGTATGTCCCTGGACTGGGGATGGAACCCACAATCTATGTATGTGCCCTGACCGAGAATTGAAGGAAGACGGTCCAGCCAACTGGGCCACACTAGCCAGGGCTCTACTGGAATATTTTTTAAAGGGAAAGAAACATGAGCATTAAAGATCTCTTCTGCATCCAAAGAACGCAGGCTTTTTGTTTGGGTTTTGGGAAGTAAGAAGTCCCAGACCACTCACTTCTTGCTTCTAGAGATACTCTGGTGGGATTGTGGCTCTGACTGGGTCAAGTCCTCCCAGGCCTGGAGCTGGGGATAGGCAGCAGAGCTATCCTTTGGCCTGTAGTTTCTTCATCCTTTTTGGAGTTGGGGCCTTGATCACTAAGTACTAGGTTGTTCATTTGATTTTTATCTAGGTTTCCAAGTCCTGTCAGCCCTTCCTTCCCAATGTGTTTTGCCTTCACCTCTTTTCTCTTCCCACTGTAGTAACTCTGGTTGGGGCTATCCTTACTCCTTGGGCCACATATCACTTCCTCTGGCCTCCAGGCCTCTAACTCTTGTGATTTTCTAAAATCAGCCCTGATTACCTTCTGCTGTTGCCTACAGAAGCAAGAATAAGCTCCTCTGCTTGGTACTCAGTCTATCCTGTGTAATCCCAAATTACCCTTGATTTCATTTCCTACTGATTTCTAAAATGTGTTGCAACCTTGGGCCAAATTATAAAAGGTCTATTCTTTGTTCCCTAAATGTACACCAAGATTCCCTGACTTCTTTCTTCATTCTATTTGATGATTCCCTTTCTGAAAGGTCTATTTGTGTTTGTCAGAATCTTCATTACTCTTAGTCTTTATTCTGAAAAAAAAGCTTTTTCTGACCCTTATGTTTGGATGTGATTTCTTTCTCCTTTAACATCCTTTAAATGTTCATCTTATGAGACTTACCTTATCTTGTGTAGTCAGATGTCTGCTCCCTATTTTCTCACCATTAGATTACTTTGGAGCGTAGGGCTGTGGTTTGCTTATTTCTAATTCCCTGAAGCTTTGGCACAGTTTCTGGCACACCGTAGTGTTCAACAAATAGCTTGCTCATTTAAACAAGTATTTATTGGGTTTGTTGACGGGACCGAGCCCCCACCTCCCTAGGCAACCCCTGGCAAATTTCTGGATCCATCCACCTACCTCACAATTTTGTCTTAAGTCAAAAATGGTTAATGAATATGAAAGAGCATTGGAAATAAAGAAACGAAGTGTTACCGCAGGTCTCGTATTGTTATTTTGTGACGACTTTGCCTCATGGTTTCCTATTTCACCCGGGAACAATTCTGCCTCCCAGCTCAATAAAGCCAAGCGAGGGAGGAGAGTGGGCTCCCTCCGGCCGGCAGGTGGCGATATCCCGGTTCGGCACATTCCGGTGGAGAAGTTTGGCCCCGCCGCCCTGCCGTAGGCCGGTGGCCTCAGTTGCGTGCCGGCCCCGCGGCAGTTTGCGGCGGCCGGGGAGATGTCGCTGTTACGATCACTGCGCTTCCACCTCTTCGCGCGGCCGGGGAGCTCCCCGGTGAAGGGTCTCGGTCCCTGCACCGACGTGCTTTCCTTGCAGGTCTCCCGTGCGCCCCTACCTCCGACTCCCTTTCGGACTCCGTCCCACCCTCCCCCCCCACCTCATTGCCTCTTCGCGGTCCAGCTCCCGTGCGCTGCCTTTCCCCCTTGCCCGGGGCCCCAGTCCCTCCTGAGGTCGCCTCCACGCGCACGTGCTTTCTGCCCCGGAGCGCCTCGCTGCGTTCTGCTTCTCATCCCTTTCTTCTCACCCCCTCCAGGCAGGGCCCCTTCCGCTGCAGTCGCCCCAGCTATGGCACACATTTCACGCAGGGCCCTGGCTGTCTTCCTCGGCCTCCAGCAAGGAGCTCCTCATGAAGCTGCGGCGAAAAACAGGCTATTCCTTTGTAAACTGCAAGAAGGCTCTGGAGACTTGTGGCGGGGATCTCAAACAGGTGTGTGGGAGGCCGGGAATGGAGCAGGGCGGGTACTAGGGCCGAGTCTGTCTCAGGGAGATTGCTGTCTAGTATTCCTAAGGGCTGACCTCTACGTACGATTCTGACTTAAATGACCACCCCAGCCTCTGACTCCGTGTAAAGAGGAAGCAGTTGACTCAGGATCCCAGGGTTAACAAACCTTATTCCATTTTGCAAACTGTAATGCTGTTTCCTGCGGCTTGGAGCTGAAAGGGCTGTGTGAGCTTTGGAGTCACACAGACCAGGACTAAAATCATGGTGCCCTCCCACTAACCCTGTGACCTTGGACACCTTACTTAATCTTTCAGAGGTGCATTGTTCTTGTAAATGAAAATATTACTGTCTGCTTCATAAGGTTGTTGTGAAGATTAAACTTATCCAAAGCACCAGGTAGAATTTGGCATTTAGTGGTAGGCTGCCAGTATAGGGGCATCAAACTCATTTTCACCGGGGGCCACATCAGCCTCTCCTTGCCCTCAAAGGGCCGAATGTAATTTTAGGACTGTATAAATGTAACTACATAACAGTTAAGGGAGGGCTCGGAGGTGCTCTGGGTAGAAACAAGGTGGAGGGCTGGATTCGTCCCATGGGCCTTGTGTTTGCCACCTGTGTAGTAAATGATAGATTACTTCAGTTTCTATTATGGGATTGAAGAGAAGCAGAAGGAGTCAGGGGACCTGAACATATTTTAGAGTCCCATTCAACTTTAAATTCTATAACTTTGTCATCTGCCCTGTTTCTTCTCAATTTATAGGCAGAGAGCTGGCTCCATGAACAGGCCCAGAAGGAGGGCTGGAGCAAAGCTGCCAAGCTTCATGGCAGGAAGACTAAAGAAGGCCTGATTGGGCTGCTGCAGGAAGAAAACACAACTGTGTTAGTAGAGGTGAGTTGTCAGAATTCCAGATACCATGAATGGCCATTCCTGTGGCAAAAGGGCCATCCTTTCATTATAAGGCTTTGTGGTAGATTCTTTGCTTTTTTTTCTTTCTTTAAAGATTTAATTTTTATTTGTAAAGGGAGGGGAAGGGAGAACGAAGGAGAGGGAGAGAAACATCAATCAGTTGCCTCTCTTATACGCCTCAGCTGGGGACCTAACCTGCAACTCAGGCATGTGCCCTGACCAGGAATCAAACATGTGACCTTTCACTTTTGTGGGAGGGCTCCCAACCAACTGAGCCACACTGGTGAGGGCTCTTTGTGTTCTTAAAGAAGAGGTGTTTGAGCCCTGGCTGGTGTGACTCGGTGGATTGAGTGCTGGCCTGTGAACTGAAGTGTTGCTGGTTCAATTCCTAGCCAGGGCACATGCCTGGGCTGCAGTCCAGGTCCCCAATAGGGGACGTGCAAGAGGCGACCACACATTGATGTTTCTTTCCCTCTCTTTCTCCTTCCCTTCCCCTCTCTCTAAAAATAAATAGAATCTTAAAAAAGAGGAAGAGGTGTTTGAGAACCATAAAGGGTAGTTGAGTTTAAACCCATGAGACCACAATTATTAGCTGTGGATTCATTTAAGTTTAGAAATGCACATATGTGTTGATGAGAAAAGGCCTAGCAGTCTGGAATAGTACTTCTAATTGTGAGTTTCATGTAGCCTTACACCTTGGAACTGATTGCTTCCTGGACTACTTTGATTCTAAAGCTAGGAATTATATTAATTAGTTGATGGATAGAGAGTAGCTGTTGTAGAGGTTTCAGGGCCACAACTGATGAAGAATCAGAAAGGTGGATTAGAGTTTAGAGTGAGAGAAGGAGATAAAATAAGCTGATAACAAAACTGGTTTGTACTTGGTGGAGGCTGGAGAATGAGTTGATTATGGCATGTAGCCATAGGCAAAGCGGCAAACTTGTAGTGAGTCCTTGGGGGACATTATGGAACCATCCTCTGACTGTACAGGCTGTTGCTAACTAAGGGACACAGCAGATATCATTTCATTCAGTTTTTGGTCTCAAGCTTGGAAGGAAGCTACAGGCTTAGAATTTTGGGGTTCTTTCTTTCTTAAAAGTTTCTTTTAGATATTTATTTATTTTTAAAGAGAGGGAAGGGAAGGAGAAAGAATGGAAGAAAAACATCAATGTGGGAAAGAAACATTGATTGCTTGCCTCGCACCTGCCCCAACCAGAGACCTGGCGTGCAACCCAGGCATGTGCCACCTGACCGGGAATCAAACTGGAGACTTTTTGCTTTGCAGGATGACATCCATCCAACTGAGCCATGCTGGCCAGGGCTAGAGTCATTTATTTTTGCTTTGTTGAATCTACTGCTTGTTTGTCAATACCTTGGTTTACTCTCCAACCTTAAAGTACTTTTGGAAACTATCAGTAAATAGCTTATACAGCAATATCAACTTATTCCTACAGGTAAATTGTGAGACAGATTTTGTTTCAAGAAACCTAAAATTTCAACAGTTGGTCCAGCAAGTAGCCCTGGGAACCATGTTGCATTGTCAGAGCCTGAAGGATCAGCTGTCCACATACAGTAAGGTGAGTTTTTGGGCCTCCAACATGCTGGGTTTGTTCCACCCTTACCACCCTGCCCCCCTGCCCCCTTAGGGTTTTTATTGTTCCCTTTTTTCAGACATTCTCAGGTCTCCCTTACTTCATGTCTCTGCTTAAATGTTACCTTTTTGTAGAGGTGTACCCTTCCTTCTGTGGCTCTATTACCTCAGTAAGTAAATTAAAAATCTGTGGTTTTTCACTTAACAATTTTTGTTACAGTGTTTATTGTATATTACATTTTTATTTATTTGTATGTTGTCGGTCTTTCCCAATAGAACACAAGCTTCATGAGGCAGGGAATTTGGCTTTTCACTACTGTGTCTCTGGTGAAAGAGAAGTGGGCCCAGCACTTGGTTGAGGCTCAGTAAATCTGTGTTAAGTGAATGAGTGAATGCCAGTGGGGTGGAGTCAGTCAAATCAGTGCAGATTTGTATGCAGGAATCTAGAATGACCTAAGGAAAGGATTCTCAAATAAAGATATTGGAGAAGGCCCAATTTAGGAAAATAAGGATATTCTTGTCTATCGAAGGATCGGGGAAGAAATGAGACGTTAGCCTTGATTCCTCCTTATTGTCAAGGCAAAAATGAACCAATTACTTACACAGTTTTTTTTGTTGTTGTTCAGTACCACCTTTTTTCTCCTTTTTTTGAGATTTCATGGTATATGCTAATTGTTACTGGCATTAAATGGTGACATTCTATGGAAAATCGTGTTGAGGTTATTTTTTATAATTATATTGAGTAGATGAGTCACTTGAACTATAAATTCAAGTTCTTTTTATTTTATTTATTTGTTTGTTTTTTAGAGAGAGGGGAAGGGAGGGAGGAAGAGAGGGAGAGAAACATCAGTGTATGGTTGCCTCTCGAATGCCCCTTACTGGGGACCTGGTCTACAACCCAGACATGTGCCCTGACTGGGAATCGAACCAGAGACCCTTTGATTCCCAGGCCTGTGCTCATTCCACTGAGCTACACCAGCCAGGGCTAAATTAGAATCTTGACTTTGCCAGTAACTCTATTTGTAACCCTGAACCATTCAGTTATTTTTATTGTGTTTCTGGTTCATTATCTGTAACAGGAGACTTTGGTTCCTTTAGCTTTATTTATTTTTTTCCTCTTTTGATCTTTAGTTTAATTTTTTAAACTTTCATTTTGGGGGGAAAAAATCAAACAGAAGTTGTCAGTATTCTACAGTAAACTATGGTGGGCTTTTATCTAGAGTCACCATTTGTTAACATTTTGCCTTACTTGTTTTATCAGTTTTATTTTTTTAAATCCTCACGCAAGGATATGTTTATTGATCCTAGAGAAAGAGGAAGGGGGAGAAAGAGGGGGAGTGGGAAGAGAAACAATGATCAGTTGCCTCCCTGATATGATCCTCATCAGGGGAGCAAATCACAACCTAGGTATGTGCCCTGACCAGGAGTCGAACCTGCAACCCTTTGGTGTATGGGATGATGCTCCAACCAACTCAGCCACCCGGCCTGGGTGCTTTATCAGTTTTTACATACATATTATCATGATTTCTAGTTGTCACGTCTGTTTAGTTTCCTTTCTTTGTCTTTTATTACATTGACATTTTTGTAGAATGTCCTTCAGTTTGGGTTTGTCTGATGTTTCTTCATAGTCAGACTCAGCATATAGATTTTTGTAGGAATAGTAAATCAACTCTCCTATACTCCTGTCAGAACATCATATCAGGAGGTACATCATAACTGTTGGTTCCATTGTGGATGCTGTTTCTGATCT